ATCCATTTATCTACCTATTATCTATCTATCTATCTATCTATCTATCTATCTATCTATCTATCATCTATCTATCTATCTATCTATCTATCTATCATCTATCAGCTATCTACCTCTACCTATAAATCATTTATCTTTCCCTCCCTCCTTCCCTCCTTCCCTTTTTTTTTCATGATAAAGTCTTGTGTAGCCTAGGTATGGCCTCAAAATCACCATGCAGCAGAAGATGACCTTGAACCCCTGATCCTCCACCTTCTGAGTTTTGGGATTGCATGTGTGTTGTCACCATGCTTGGCTTTCCATGTTTTCATAAGACAGTTTATACTCTCCTGAGTGATGTGAAGATTAGGACCAATATGTGGCAGAGAAAAGTAACTTCCAGAGAATAAGTGGGGAGGGTGTGTGTGAACTGACTCAGTTAGTAAAGGTACTTGCTTCCAGGTCTGATGACCTGAGTTCAATTCTTGGAACCCACATAGTGGAAGGAGAAAGCTGACTCCTGGAAGTTGTTCTCTGATGTCTATATGAGTGCTGTGATGCAGTGTGCATGTACACACAAACAGGCACACCATAAACAAATGTAATAATAACAATAATAAAAATAAATTAAAGAAGAGCAACGGGGGAAAAGATGTTGGAATATAGGCACATCCTTGTGCAAGTATCCTCTGAGTGACTCTTCCGGTCTGTCTGTTCATGAGCTGTCCTTGGAGGAAGAACAAAGGAAACAAGCTATTGGAGGGAAAAATCAAAGGATCCAGCAATACAGTGGGCGGTCATGGGAAATTTGAGGAGACTCTCGACTTTTTAGGTACCACAGCTCTACTTTTTTGTTTTATCAGGAAAATACCATGATGTATCTGAGAGGACTCATTGGACTCCCTTTCTTAATGCTAGCATTCATTACATTCGGGAGAACTACCCTCTGCCCTGGGAGAAGGTAGGTGTGCCCTCCAACCCCGCATCAGTTCACTGCTGTGCTGACAAGTGCCGTTGGATCACTCCATTTGGAATCTCTGATCCCCAGACTGGGGTAGCTAATTATCTCTTGACCTGCAGTGCCCTGTACGCTAACGGGCACACGACAGATGCCTGGCCAATACAGAAATAAAGTTACCAAAGAAAAGTTTGGAGATTGTCACTCCAATGCCAATGCATCTGAAACCCTTCCAAGACACAGCATTTCAGAAAATCCTATCAACTTCCCTGTGGCTAGAAGCTATGTAATTTATCTGCTTCTAATTCTTTGTTAAGTCGCAATCATGGAAATTAGTTCATGTTTGTTAAAGCCTTTCAGGGAATCAATGTAACCCAACACCTACGACTTGGATTTTCTTTTCTGCCAGGACACAGAGAAGCTGGTGGCTTTCTTGTTTGGAATCACCTCACACATGGCTGCTGATGTCAGCTGGCACAGCCTGGGTATTGAACAAGGATTCCTCAGGACGATGGGAGCCGTGAGTGCATATCACCCCAAGAGTGCCACTGCCACACCCAGATCAAAGCTGGACTTGGGCTGGGGTGTGGGGGAGCTCAGAGGTAGCGTGCCTGCTTAACACACAAAGCCCTGGGTTTGATCCCCAGTTCCGCAGACAAGACTGCATTCTCTTAAAGAAAAGGAAAACTTGAGGTTATTCACACACCCTGGGCACATTAGCCTTCTTATCCAAAGTGGCTTCTGGTCAGAGTTCTTTGTTAAATGGATTCCTTTCCTTGTTACCACCTCTGAAGGTGCATTCACAAAAACCGAGTGATCTAACGTGCTCGAAACGGGGCAGGCTTGTCTGCAGTGCCTTTGAGACTGTGTCTGAATGAGGAAAGGAGTATCTGCCACTTGGCTCTGCTCAGCATTGATAGTTCCCAAACAGAGAATTGCAGTCTCTCCTGATAACAGCGGAAAGGGCCTGCTATTAGTTGTTTTATTTGACTTTTGGCATTTTTATTTGTTTGTTTGTTTATTTTATTATTATTATTTTTTGTTTTTGTTTTTTCCAGACAGTGTTTCTCTGTGTAGCTTTGGAGCCTGTCCTGGGACTCACTCTGTAGCCCAGGCTGGCCTTGAACTCACAGAGATCTGCCTGCCTCTGCCTCCCGAGTTCTGGGATTAAAGGCGTGCGCCACCACCACTGCCTGGAGGCTTTTGGCATTTTTAAATGAAGATTTTAATCTTTCTTTTTATTTGATGTGTATTGGTGTTTTGCCTGCATGTTGTGTGTCTGCACCACGTGTATTCAATGCTTGCGGAGGCCAGAAGAGGTGCTAGGGTCCCACTGGGTCTGAGTTACAGCTGTGAGCCGTCACGTGGTTGTGGGGGATCAAACTCAGGTCTTCTGGAAGGGCAGCCACTGAAGCATCACTCCAGCCTGCTTGTTGCACGTTAATTGAATTTTTCGTTAACATATACGATAATGGGCTGGCTTCATCGTGATGTTTTCATGTGTGTGTCAGGAGACCTTGCTCATATTTGTCCCACAGTCACCCTTAATTCCATCCTGTTGGACCTGTAATCTTGGACTCCATTGGAGACGTTGTCCACCCCAGGGAGGCACAAATGTCTGCAGCAGTCTTGTTACCCAACTCAATGGCCACCACAGACAAAAAGGAGAATGTCAGTGTGAAGACCAAGTCTACCACAATAAACTCCAGTCCCCTGGGTCAGGCTGTCATCTCCCCTCAGCTTGTCTGACTTGCGGTGACATTCTAGGTCACAGTCTGGGACATTCACCATGTGCTTCTCTTTGCTCCTCAGATTGATTTTCAGGACTCCTATTCTGAGGCTCATTCAGCTGGTGATTTTGGTATTGTTTATTCACTTTTTTCATAT